GAGGGGCAGGGGACCCCGCTAGCTCCTTTTCCGAGGCGGCCCTGGTGCCAGCGCGCCTGGCCGCGCCCACCCGGGCAGCCGGGAGCCGGGGTGGGGGTGCACGACAGCTACCGCGCGCCCGCGGGCTTTGGGGAAAACCGAACCCAATAAAAAGGAGCAAGGAAGGAAGCCTTCGCGCTTCCCGCCTGGCATCAGCGGTGGGAGCTCAGGGCAGGGCTCTGGCCCTCCACGCTGGGTGAAGACTAAACTGCGGGGATCTGGTCTCCACCAGTCCTGGGCTGGGGTGTCCGCCCCCCACCCCGCCCCCGGGAGCTGCGAGCCACCTTTCATTTTTCGTTTTTATGCCAGGAAGGACAAGCGTGAGAATTTGAAGGAAAAAAACAAAGCCGCCCGCCCTGCCCAGCTGCTTCCTTTCATTTTTTCCCCCGTTAGCTACCAGTTTTTGAAACTGTGCTATGTACCAAGCACTACAGTTCTAAGACAATACAGGCTCACAGAGAAAAAAGTCATGTGCCGAGGTCACATATATGATGGCAAAGCTGGGATTAGGAAATTTCTCCCAGATCCTGAGTTTAAAAGAAAAAAATAAAGAGGATTTAAAAACCTAACCATTTGCTTTTTAGCATTCTAAACAGATCCTTCTGGGGAAAAAAAAAAAAATGAGGACTGAGAACAAACACTACAAACATGGCTATACTGGGGTTTTGTTTTGTTTTGTTTTTTGTTTTGTCTTTTTGAGACAAGGTCTCACTATGCAGTTCAGGCTGGACTTGAGCTCACTTTGTAGCCCAGGCTGGTCTCAAACTTACAACAGTCCTCCCGCCTCAGCCTCCCAAGAGTGCTGGGATGACAGGCATGCAACACCACTCCCAGCTTAGCCATAGTTTTTGACTTGTCATTTGGGCAAACCAGTGGGAAGAGGGAGCTGGTAAGAGCGCAAACAGATGACTGTCTTCTGGAAACCACAAGCCATTTGTATCAAGAGCTTTAAATACTGCGCGTGCCCTCAATGAGGAAAGGGCCACAGATTCTATGAAGCCCAATAACTATTGATGTGTAGTGCCCATTGCTTGGGACTCAGCAATTCCACTTACAGAAATCTATTCTATGGACAGGTGCACCAGCACAGTACATAATCAAGTAGAAGTGAGGGCATCCGTTACTGCACTGCTGCAATAATGAAAGACAGAAAACCTAGCAGGTATCAATAAAATTGACTCGATTATGGCATATCCATCAACAAAAATTCTATGCATCATTTTTATTTTTTATTTTATTTTTTCTCCGGTACCGGGAATCGAACTCACGACCTCACGCTTGCCAGGCAGGCGCTGTGCCCCTGAGCTAAATCCCCAGCCCCCTATGCATCATTTTTAGAAAACAAGGCAGTCTTTTATTTCATTTCAATTCTTTCAGTACTGGAAACTGAACCCAGGGTCTATATCCCCAGCCCTTCTGTTTTATAATATTTTGGGGTTTTTTTTGTTTTATTTTTTGATTTTTTTTTTGTCTTTTTGAGACAGGGTCTCATTATGCAGTTCAGGCTGGCCTTGCGCTCACTTTGTAGCCCAGGCTGCTGTTCTCAAACTTGCAATGATCCTCCTGCCTCAGCCTCCTGACTGCTGGAATTACAGGCGTGCACCACCACACTCGGCTTATAATTTTTGTTTTTGAGACAAGATTTCACTAAATTGCCCAGGCTGAGCTCAGATTTACAATTCACCTACCTTGGCCTCCAGAGTGGCTGAGATTACAGGCTTGCAGCACTGCACAGAGCTCCACTTTTATACATAGAACAATCATCAAGAAATATTAAGTGAAAAGAGCAAAATGAAAAAGTATGTATCTGGCTGGGCGTGGTGGCGCACACCTGTAATCCCAGCACTCGGGAGGCTGAGGCAGGAGGGAGGATCGTTGCGAGTTCGAGACCAGCCTGGGCTACAAAGTGAGCTCA